TGTTGTAATTTTAGTACAGCCCTAATAATCTGACCCAAATTATGTATATTTCTGTTTGCCTACATCCTACTTCATTCAACAAATATTTGGTGCCTCCAGGAAAATTAAATATTGTCTAGTCTTTTTTTTTTTTTTTTGAGATGGGAGTCTCAACTCTGTCGCCCAGGCTGGAGTGCAGTGCGCGATCTCGAGCCTCACTGCAAGCTCCGCCTCCCAGGTTCACGCCATTCTCCTGCCTCAGCCTCCCGAGTAGCTGGGACTACAGGCACCCGCCACCTCGCCCGGCTAATTTTCTGTATTTTTAGTACAGACAGGGTTTCATTGCATTAGCCAGGATGGTCTGGATCTCCTGACCTCGTGATCCGCCCACCTCAGCCTCCCAAAGTGTTGGGATTATAGGCATGAGCCACCGCGCCTGGCCTCTAGTCTTTTTTTTAATAAACAATCTTCTATTAGCAATTTCATATTCTACATAGCAAGTTCAGAATTTTATGATGCCTGAAATTAGAAACAAATACAGAGAGTATTAAACCTTGGATATTGTGGAGACAAATATGTTTGATGAATGACCTTGGAGGCCCGGAAATGAGAATGGCTAGAACTGGGGATTCCAGCAGGGGCAGCAGCGGCAACAGTCACGCCCGAGGGCTGCAGAGGGAGGCAGCGGCAGAAGCAGGTGCCCGCCGGGCCTGGGCCGCCCTCCCCAGGGTCCCTCCACCTCCGGTCTCCCTGCCTCGTGGTGTTGTTTCTGGGCAGACTTGTCTTCACCACACCACATCAGCAGGAGTGTGTAGTGGACACAGACGGTGCCTGCTGGTGTCTGCCCGGGTCCCCGCCGCTGCCAGGCAAGGCCGACAGGAGTAGATAAGTGTGTGACAGAGGCTGGGGTCAGCCCTGCGGGGGGTGGGGTAGACAGGGGACTGGCACAGCTGCCCCGGGGTGCCCTCCCAGTGGAGGGGCTGCTCTCCAGACCTTGTCCTTCCACAGGACCCGAGGTCTCTGCCTGGGGGGGGCCACCGGAGGCTCTGTTGTGTCACCTGTGGTGTCCTGTCCTCCAGATCCTTGTAGAGCTGGGCTTAGGGTGCAGGCTGCAGGGACGGAGGCTGCAGGGACGGAGAGCAGGACCACATGAGGGCTTGGCGGTCCAGGAGGCCTTCTGAGGGCAGGGCCCTGGGGTTGCATTTTGGGGAGAGGCTGCCACAATACAGCAGGAGGAGCAGGGATGGGGGTGGCAGTGTGTGCAAAGGCCCGGCTCTGGGGGTAGGGCTGTTGTTTAGCCAGCTGGAGTGCCTAGGAGATGAGATGAGAGGGGCGGGAGGGCCTCTGCTGATGGTCTGGGGGTGGAGGATCGGCTGAGCCAAGCCAGGAGACTGGAGTTTTCCTACAGTTGTAGGGCTCTGTGCCCACTCCCACCTCTGCTCCTCTCTCAGCCCCACTGAGGCCTCTCCGGTGGATCTCACAGGCTGCCCCTACTCGCCCCATTCTCCTGTCCCATTTCTAGCCTCAGGTAGCCTGTGCCTGGGGAGGGGAGGGGAAGGGAAGGGAGATGAGGGGAGGCTAGGAGAAGGGATGGGAGGGGAGGGAAGGGAAGGGGAAGGGAAGGGAAGAGAAGGGAAGGGAAGGGAGATGAGGGGAGACTAGGAGAAGGGATGGGAGGGGAGGGGTCGGGAGGGGAAGATGTGCAGGTCAGTCTCCCGGAGGGGAGGCTGCTATGACAAGATCCCACAGACTGGGGCTTCAGCAACAGACTTCTCTTTTCTCTCAGTTCTGGAGGCTGAAGTCCAGGATGCAGGCGCCATCACGGTTGGTTTCTGGTGAGGCTTCTCTTCCTGGCTTGTAGGTGGCCCCCCTCCCGCATGGCCTTTCCTCCGTGTATGCAGAGGGGAAGAGAGAGCTCTCCCGTATCTCTTCCTCTTCCTGTGGAAGGGCCCTTCCCTGTGGCCTTCTAACACCTTATCGCCAATACAGTCACTCAGGGGATTCCATCTTCAACATAGGAGTATTGAAGATGGGGTTGGTGATGTCACAGTCCCATCTGTAGCAGTGTCCGTAGGAAATTCCCACACTGGGGCCAGGCACGGTGGCTCACACCTGTAATCCCAGCACTTTGGGAGGCTGGGGCAGGCGGATCGCTTGAGCCCAGGGGTTCAAGACCAGCCTGGGCAACATAGCGAGACCTTGTCTCTACAAAAAATGCAAACATTAGCTGGGCATGGTGGCCCGTGCCGGTGGTCCCAGCTACATGGGAGGCTGAGGTAGGAGAATCCTTTGAGCTCAGAAAGGCAGAGGTTGCAAAGAGCTGTGATTGTGCCATCGCACTCCAGCCTAGGCAACAGAGTGAGACCCTGTCTCAGAAAAAAACCATCAACAAACTTCCCACACTGAGAGAGCCTGCTCCAGGCTGGGGCCTGGACTCAGCCGGTTGCTGTGTGGTCATTCGCTCTTCCGGAAACCCTCCCAGCAGATTATGTTCCCATTTCACACGGAGGGTGAGTGCAAGGCAGCCCTAGGTGGCTCCCTCTAACTCCGAACGTGTGAACATGGGTTTCCCCAGCACTGTCCAACCCCAGGCTCACTGGGACACCTTCCCGAGCTTTCCATCTGATGCTTTTAGGGTCCAGCAGCCACAGGGGTCTCAGGGAGGACGCTGGGCCCAGTGCCGGACCCTGCTGGGCAGGTTCCCTCAGCCGCAGGGCGGGTGGCCGGTCCCATCTGGTGGCCCATTCCCCCTGCCTGAGTGCACGGATGTGTGTGTGTGAGTTTAGTGTGTGTTCTTGGCCCATTCATCCTTCAGCTTTTGTGTTTTATTATGTAATCATTTTGCATGAGTGCTTCGTCTATGAAAGATGTTAGTTAATATTTGTTTAACAAAACACATTTTGCATCTATTGATTAAAAAAGAAAATGGTGATAACGACAATCCAAGGACCCAGTGGAAACTGGTGAAGGCTGGACTGAGGGCTCAGGCAGTGGTGCGTGGAAAAGGTGCTTATTGTACTTTTGTTCTTGAGATGAAGCCAGTGAGGGCTAGGGGATGTTTCTGAACCTCTGTGCCAAGAGGAATCGGGTCAGCAAAGAGAGAGGAGTGGGAGACGGGGTGAGTCTTACACACACAGCCTTTCCCAGGAACAAATTCTCTCTTAAATTGCAGCATTAGGAAATTACCTCAGAGCTGGGCACGGTGACTCACGCCTGTAATCCCAGCACTTTGGGAGGCCGAGGCAGGGGGGTTGCTTGAGCTCAGGAGTTTGAGACCAGCCTGGGCCACATGGCAAAACCCCGTCTCTACTAAAAATACAAAAATTACCCGGGCATGGTGGTGGGCGCCTGTAATCCCAGCTACTCGGGAGACTGAGGCACGAGAATTGCTTGAACCTGGAAGGCAGAGGTTGCAGTGAGCTGAGATCATACCACTCACTATACTCTAGCCTGGGCGACAGAGTGAAACTCCATCTCAAAAAAGTAAAGATAAAAATTGCAACCCTCCCTAGCTGAGCGTGGTAACTCCTGCCTGTAATCCCAGCACTTTGGGAAGCCAAGGCGGGAGGATCCCTTAAGCCCAGAAGTCTAAGACCAGCCTGGACAACATAGTAAGACTCCATCTCTACGAAAAACAGGGGAAAAAAATTAGCTGGGCATGGGAGTGTGCACCTATAGTCCCAACTACTTGGGAGGCTGAAGCCAGATGATTGCTTGAGCCTGGGAGGCTGAGACTGCAGAGAGCTGTGATTGTAATTCTGCACTCCAGCCCGGGCAAGAGGGAGAGACTCTGTCTCAAAAACAAATAATTACGACCCTCCCCCATGCAGCTGCTGCTTGGCTCGGGAAGGAGCTGACACTCCCCACTGACCCCGGAACGTCCTGCTCTCTGTGATTACGTGGGCTCAGAGACCGTTGTTTGCACTGCGTCCCGGGATGGATTTACACAGGACCACGTGCCTTCTGCTCCCTTCCACTCCCGCCCGCGTTCCCTGTTTGTGGTTCTTATCATTCTGCTTGCCTGAGTCATTGGTCTCACCAAAAACAAGAGCACAGTGGAGGTCACACCAGCTGCAGCCCAGCATGGACAGACGGACGACAGCAGCCAGACATCAGGGGCTCCTCTGCTTCCCTCTGCCGGGCACCTGTGCTGGTCCCACCAGGGCGGCTGTGGTCCTGCAGGGGCGCTGGGCAGAGAGGGTGCCACCCAGCCAGGCTGTGAACCCACCTGTGCCCTGTGCCCTGAGGCCCACTCCTGGATTGAGGGGAACCCGCTCGCTCCCACACCAGACATGACCTCTCCCACAAGCTCTCACTTCCTCTCTGCTGCCCTGTGGCTGTCCTCCTTGTCACGCAGTTGGCTGCCCTTGTCTGCACCACAACGCCCTGCCTGGAAAGGCCCCTGTTTGTCCAGGCAGCCAGGGCTAGAGCCAAGCGCAAGGCATCACTGCCTGGACGCCTGAGTCCAGTGGATGCTCCCATGGGACCCGTGTCCCTCAAACGGAACCCTGCAGCTCAGCACTCCAGCTGCATCCCCTGTCGCCTCCTCACCTCACCCCAGGCCCACCCGGCTCCTGCGGCCCCCACCAAGCTGCTCAGGCCACTCTCACGGCCCTCACTTTCCACCCACAGCCAGTGAGCCTGCAGACCCTCCTGGTCCCCGACTCCTGAGCATCCCAAGCCCACGGTCTCCATGTGACTTGAGCCACTCCCCTGGCCCTGGCTAGGAGCCCTGAGGATCCCTTCTTCCTGCCACAGGGGCTCCTACCTCTCCGCAGGGCAGACCCTCCCAGGTGAACCTGAACCCTCGGAATGACCCAAGGGGCCCTGTCCACCCTGCCGCCCCCCACGCTCTTCCCCTCGAGGCCTGGGGCAGCCAGGCTCTATGACCTTTCCAAGGGTTTGCTGGAAGGAGCCTGGGGTTGGGAGCCACTTCTGGAGGCGAACAGGCTCGTGGGCCATGACAGTTCCCTCGCTTCCTCCCTCACACAGAGGACAGCAGTATCCACCGGGTCACCTGTGCGAGAGTTGGAGCCACTAGAAACGCAGGGCTCAGGGTGCCTGGCACACAGTGGGCCAGCCGCCACGGGCCGCAGGCTGGTGGGCATGGTCGGCCCCTCAGAGCAAGCGGCTGAGGCACTGCCTGTGCTTGTGAGGTGCTCAAGTCACACCCCAGTAAACAATGGGGGAGGGCGCTGCCTCCACCGCACCCTCATATATTCAGGTTCTCACACACACCCATCACCGTCAGCCAGCGCCGCAGCCCTCCCAGTTCCCTGAACGACATCACCTCTCAGGCCTCCGTCCTGCCACTGGCCAGGTCACTTGGACTGTGGAGGGGAGGGTCCGACAGGCCCGAGCCCGACCCTGGACCCCTCTCTAGCTGCAGCCCCGCACGCCTGAGGGTGGCTGGAGGGGGCCTGGTGCCTGCCGGGTGGGTTTGCTTTCCGGAAGTTCTGCACGTGAGTTGCCTTCTGAGTCCGTGCTGGTGGTCAGTGGGATCTGGTTTCTGTGGCTGTGGGACTGAAGTCCCTGGTCCCTGGTTGGCTGGCAGCCAGGGTCCAGCCTTAGCAAGTAGAGGCCTGTCTCTGTCCTTGCCCGTGGGCCCGTGTCTCGGAGCCGGCAGCAGCCTGTCCAGTCCTCACACCTGGAAACTCTGGCTTCCCATTCAGCCTGGTCTCTCTTCTGCTTCCAACCGGAGAAAGCCCTTCTCTGCTCTTACGGCTCATGGGACTGGACCAGACCCACTATCCCAGCCACGTCTATGATAATCTCCCTCCCTGTTTTAAGGTTCGTAATCCTAATTACATCTGCAAATTTCCTTTTGTCTTGTAACATAACTTCCCAGCTACCAGGGATCAGGGCTGGGACATCTTTGGGGGCCACTTCGCCTTCCACCAGACCCTGGTCTGCCCCCTCAGCTGCCCTCTGTACAGCCTTGTAACATCCTTTTCCAATAATCCAAGCAACTCAAAACACCCCAAGTTAGTGACATCAGCAGTCCTCCCAGGAAAACCATCCAGCTGGTCGCTCCTGACGTGAGTCCCACACGCATGAACCCTGCACGTGGCACAAGGTGTCTAAGCCACTGTTCGCCGCCCCTTTCTCACATAGGAGCAGGTGGCTGGGCGCGGTGGCTCATGCTTATGATCCCAGGACTTTGGGAGGCTGAGGCAGGTGGATCACTTGAGGTCAGGAGTTTGAGCCCAGCCTGGCCAACATAGTGAAACCCTGTCTCCACTAAAAAGGTGAAAAAATTAGCTGGGCGTGGTGGCGTGCCCCTGTAGTCCCAGCTACTCAGGAGGCTGAGGCAGGAGAATCACATGAACCTGGGAGACTCATGACATGGGCAGTTGCAGTGGGCCGAGATCTCACACACATGCACTCCGGGCCTGGGTGACAGCAATGCTGTGTCTCAAGAATAATTTTAAAAATTAATTAAAAAGGCCTGGGGAGGGAACATGTTCTCAAGACCTCTTGCGACTATTGCCATGGGCAAAAAAAGCAGTTGAAAAAAACTATGGTGTGTCATTAACATAATCTATATATACAAACACACACCACACCCATATTTATTTTTATTATATATTTTATTTTATGAAAGACGAGTCATCTCTCTGTCGCCAGGCTTGGAACATGCCAGCGTGATCTCGGCTCACTGCAACCTCTGCCTCCCGAGTTCAAGTGATTCTCCTGCCTCAGCCTCCCGAGTAGCTGGAATTATAGGTGCCCGCCACCACAACCGGTTAATTTGTGTATGTTTAGTAGAGACTGGGTTTCTCCATGTTGGCCAGGCTGGTCTCGAACTCCTGAACTCAGGTGATCCGCCCGCCTTGGCCTCCCAAAGTGCTGGAATTACAGGCATGAGCTACCATGCCCGGTCCTCATTATATATTTTTTTTAAAAAAAGAAGTATTGGAGGGTGGGCATGAGCAAAATGTGGGGCAGCCACATAGAGGAAGATGGGGCCCAGGCAGCAGGAGCCAACTGAGAGGACAGAGTGGGTGCCAGATGACAGAGGCCAGGGCACCAGGTCACAGGGGATGGTCAGGAGGCTCCGGGAGGAAATTTCCGACGTGTCTGAACACGTGGAGAGGCGGTTTACACAGCGGAAGGAGAGTGCAGAGGTGAAGTCACAGTCCCAGGAAGAAGCTGGGGCCCAGGCGGCCTGGGAACCAGATGACCTCCAGGGAAAACAAAGAACCCAAGGCTGTTGCACGGCTCAGCGTGAGCTGCACCCGCATAGTAACGTAGATACCGAATGTGTCTCACCAAAATTATGTCGGGGGTGGGGACAGTTGTGGGGTTCTGTGTGTGAGAGGGAATTAACTCCTTCACCTCCAGAGTGGAGAATCAGGAGACCCTGTCCAACACTGAGAAGTTGAGAAGCGCCCATCTAAGCACATAAGCACATTATAGGGTAGAGATGGGGTCTTGCTGTGTTGCCCACAGTGGTCTCCAACTCCTGGGCTCAAGAGATCCTCCTGCCTCAGCCCCCTAAAGTGCTGGGATGATAGACATAAGCCCCCATGCCCGACTTAAGTACTTTATTACTTTTTTATTTATTTGTGTGCATTTATTTATTTATTTTTCAGATGGAGTCTTGCTCTGTCACCCAGGCTGGAGTGCAGTGGCCCGATCTCAGCCCACTACAAACTCTGCATCCTGGGTTCAAGCGACTCTCATGCCTCAGCCTCCCAAGTTGCTGGGATTACAGGTGTGTGCCACCATGCCCAGCTAATTTTTGTATTTTTGGTAGAGATGGGGTTTCACCATGTTGGCCAAGCTGGTCTCGAACTCCTGACCACCGCACCCAGCCTTTTTTATTTATTTTTTGAGATGGAGTCGCACTCTGTTGCCCAGGCTGGAGTACAGTGGTGAGGTGGCAGTGCCCAGGCTGGAGTAGTGAGATCTCGGCTCACTGCAACCTCTGCCTCCCTGGTTCAAGCGATACTCCCACCTCAGCCTCCCAAGTAGCTCGGATTACAAGCATTCCCACCTGGGTCTGGCTAACTTTTGTATTTTTAGTAGAGATGGGGTTTCACCATGTTGGCCAAGCTGGTCTCGAACTCCTGATCTCAAGTGATCCGCCCACCTCAGTCTGCCAAAGTGCTGGGATGACAGGTGTAAGCCACCACGTCCGGCCTTGTAAGCACATTATTTAAGGATAAAAAGGCAGACATGAAAAGACTGACCTGAGACATAAACACTGGGAAAATAAACACAAGGGCATGGGAGCCTTGTGGACGCACAACCGGGTGGGAAGGGGCAAGGACTGTTTTTATAACAGAAGCATAAACCACTTGCGTCCTCAAGTCACACGCATGGGTCTTTGGTTGACAGAGAGAATGGGGTGGGAGGAGACCGCACACAAGAGTCCCACCCGGGAGGGGCTGGGCTTTGTAGGGGACACAGGGAAGGATCCCTGGGCTCCACTTGGGGTGCGGGCAGGGTGAGGGAGCCCCTTCCTCCGTGGGGAAGGGAGGAAATTCCACCGCAGGGACGCAGGAGCCAGAGCCAGAGAGCAGAAACCCCACTCCTGGTACAGTGGGAACTCGGGGTGGAGAGGAGGGACAGCGGCGGGGCCAGTGCTGCCTCTCTGCTGGCTGGGACCCCCCATGCCCAGCTGTCGGTCCCATGGATATGCCATCTTCTGTGGCACATTGCTTCAAGACTCGGGATCATTGCTTGTCTTCCTGCGGATGACAGGAAGAAAGACGAAGGCATGAGAGAGATGGCACTTTATAAGGGGTCAGAGAAGGGCCTCTCTGATGAGCGACATTGGGGCAGAGACTCGGGACCTGAGGCACGTGAATAACAGGGTTCCCAGCTATTAAGGAGCCAGCTCGTGGTCACACAAGGATGACCTCCTTGCCCACCCAGGCTCTGCCTTGACCAATCAGAAGCCATGGGGCCTCTGCGTGACTCCCTGCTCTTCTCCCAGGCTGGGGACTGGGGCACTGGCTCGGACCACGGGTCACTGTTTCTTGGAGTCTCCAACCAGAGCTGAGCTCTTCAGGGGACCTGGATGATGTACTGTTTGGGCGGTTGTGTTTGGGGTGTGATGTGGCCATCCTGAAAAGCCCCGGCCTGTCAGCTCTGATCCGCTTCCCTGGGGTTCACCTCCCACTTCCGTGTCAGAACCTCTTTCTGCCCTTTCTCGCGGACTGGGGGGATCTGAGTGCTTTCCCCCATGTTTCATGAACTGAAACTGAAGCTGGAGAAGATAGGGCTTATCTGGGGTCAAAAGGAGCCCAGGTCCCTGGCTTTTGCGGGGAAACTTGTTCTGGGGGCTGGGTGAGCCTGGCCGGGTTATATGGACGTTGGGGGCTGGGTGAGCCTGGCTGGGTTATATGGACGTTGGGGGCTAGGTGAGCCTGGCTGGGTTATATGGGCGCTGGGGGCTGGGTGAGCCTGGCTGGGTTATATGGGCATCGGGGATGAAGTGCAGGAGAGGAGTTTGGAGTCCTCCCATGGGTGATCAGAGGCCCTTGGGGGCTTGGGTGGGAGCATCAGAGAGTGGGACATGCCAGAGCCTTTCTCTGCCTTCAGAAGGAAGATGAGTGAGGAGGTGTGAGGGGAAGAGGAGACCGAACAGAGAAAGAAATTCGAGAGCAGAGCTCTGGAGAGACAGGCAGGTGCCGATGGAGGAGCTGGCCCATGGGGCGGTGGGTGGGGGTAACACGGTTCTCCCCATCTGTCCAGAAAACCTTCCAAAAAGTCCCATCTCTTTGCAGAGCAGATAATAAGAGCAGCTCCCAGGCACCCTATGTACTGACCAAGCTTTACAGAGCACCAGCCATGACTGGTCCAGTGCATCCTCACAGCTGCTCCGTGGGACAGGTACATTATTCCTTGCTTTCATAAATGGGGAAACTGAGGCACGGGGCGGTGCCCAAGGTCAAGCACTGGAAGGTGGCGGAGCTGGGAGCAGGCAGAGTGACTGGGGGTCCACTCCCACCTCCCCACCTGCCCTGTGTCTCTGGGGTGTAGGGAGTGAGTCCCTGCAGCCAGGTGTGGGGGGCAGGGGGCGGGGTCCACCTCAGCGAGGCTGGCCGGGCCCGGGTCACAGGGTTGATGGGGTTTTTCAGCGCATAGACAGTACCCCACTGCATCGTGCATTGAATCAGGCCCTGGGCTCTGAGTCGAAGCAAACCCTTCCAGTGACTGCCAATGAGGTGGCAACGGAGCCCACATGATCCGGGGGGCCTGGCATGCCCTCCATTGCCCAGGGAAGCCAGGCCCAGCCTGCAGGGCCACCTCCAGATGAGACACCGCTGGAGATGTGTGGCATTCTCAGGGCCTCTTTGTAGAGAAAAACAGGAAACTATGATTATAAAATGATGCATAAAAGTGAATATTAAGAGTAAATAGGGCCGGGCACGGTGGCTCACGCCTATAATCCCAGCACTTTGGGAGGCCAAGGCGGGCAGACCACCTGAGGTCGGGTGTATGAGACCAGCCTGGACAACATGGTGAAACCCTCTCTCTACTAAAAATACAAAAATTAGCTGGGCATGGTGGTGGGTGCCTGTAATCCCAGCTACTCTGGAGGCAGGAGAATCTCTTGAACCCAGGGGGCAGAGGTTGCAGTGAGCCAAGATCGTACCACTGCACTCCAGCCTGGGCGACAGAGTGAGACTCCATCTCAAAAAAAAAAAAAAGAGTAAATAGGTCACACACACTGGCTCACAACTGTAATCCCAGCACTTTGGGAATCTGAGGTGGGAGGATCACTTGAGCCCAGGAGTCCAAGACCTGCCTGGGCAATAGAGCGAGACCCCATCTCTATTTTTACAAAGTAAATAAATCACAACAAACTGCAAAAATGTAAAAAGCCAATAAGCAGCATAAGCATAATAAGATCCAATAAATTAACATAATATTTCTCTTAGAGAACTGCCTGATGCACCCCTGAAGTACTTTGTGCTTTTTTGTTTGTTTATTTGTTTGAGACAGAGTCTCAGTCTGTCACCCAGGCTGGAGTGCTAGTGCAGCAGCTGATCTCGGCTCACGGAACCTCCCTCACCGAGTCAAAAGAATTCTCGCCTGCCTCGCCCTTCACGGGGTTAGCTAGGATTACGGGTGACTCATCCAACTGCCGTTCTACTTTTTGTATTTTTGAGTAGAGGACT